AACATTTTTCATGTCTCTGCAGTTTTCTGCCTGTGCTATACAGCTGTCATTGCTGCAATACTGAACCATGATTCTATTTGATGCTTATCAGGGTGGTTGCTTTCCACCTCGGTTGCGAACTTGGCGACCAGTCTATAGTCAGTCAGGCCACCATTCCAAACAAACAGTTGTTGGCACGCTTTCCTTTGTCTACTTTGCAATCGCTTGCCAAAGCACTTTGCTGCCGCAGCCACTACTGTGAGGCCTTTATTTATTGATGGCGTGGTCTACTGGACCCATTTCCGTCTAAAACAAGTTCTTTTTGTGGCCGTTTGTGCTGATGCATCAGTGGTGGCCCGCGATTAATTTGTTCTATGGCAATGACAGCAGTAGGGTGCAGGTTCACGAGGTGCCGAGACCTAAGCCTGTGAAGTGTTGCCCATGTGCGCTGCGAGAAAAGGAAAGAGAGCCCATGTGCGCGACTGTGATGTACCTGTTGAATGTGTCATGTTGTAGCATGTGAACGTTTTTCACGAAACTACTTAACACACAGGCTCGTTGTTGAACATCCCCTACATCGTTTGGTGTCCCGCTCGTTGGCTCAGCACATTGAATTGCGGCAGCTTTCACACAGACACACACACCTCCGCTCACACCTCACCCAGCAACATGCCCATGCGCCGCATTCTGACAAGTGCCTGATGCAAACTGAGCAGCGGCCAAAGCCCAAGCACGGGACACAAACCCGACAACGCGGCGCGGCCAACAGTGGACACACGGCTTGCCAACACGGCCGAAACAGCATGGGGACGCCAAGGTGACAAGAAGGGGGCACAGCGTTGAACGAAAAGAGGGGAAGAGGAGCGCAACACCCGGACACCAGGCCAGTATTTTTCGCAAGAGAACGCCTGCAAGCACCAGGAAGACAAGAAGACGACACCACGAAGACAAGAAAAGGACACCAAGAAGATGAGAGAAAAACAGCGGCCAAAGGCGAACAGCGGTCTTAAATGGGGTCAGTGGGGGGACCCCCTTTTGTATAGCCAATGATTAAATTTCGAAAAATATCAGATTTTAACCGGGACAGGCAGCCGACCCTCAGCAACCTGTTGCTGACCCTGGTCGTTTTTTTTTTGAAGCTAAAAAATGTAGACCACGACCGGCCATGTTGCAGCAGCGGCTTTGCAGGGCGGAAATCAAAAGCACCTATCAGATCAACCGTTCTTTTATGGGTCCCTGGCACGGCATAGTGTTCTTTTCGTGGGTGGTGTTTTTTTCTCCGAATAGTGCAACGAAACCATCCAAACCCTTGGCTTGGGGTGCCACGGTGCCTGTGGCCAAGGGCTGCGCAACCTGGACAAATTGGGCTGTGGCCAGCTCCATGGATGGGGAGCCGTCCCTCCTTGGCGAGCCTTGGGCGCACACCAACCCACCCCTTTTCGCCTCGCGGCTTTCCACAACAACATGGTTTCCACGCCTCGCCGGCCCCTTTTTTTTTCCTCCTCCCGTGCGTCACCCGCCAGCGCCGACTTGGATTTGGTCACTCAAAATGGGGAACATGGACACGTGTTGCAGAGGTGGTTTGTCATTTGGTAAATATATTGGTTCCTTAGTGGATTATTGAGGTTTAGCATCGAGGCCTGGGGACCCCAACGCCCAGGAAACATTTTCAGCATGAAAGCAGATGGTTGACACATCGGAAATATACATTTCTTCATGGTGCTGGAGGTCTGAGCCCGGCTCACCTGTGTTTGAGGTCTCCTGGTGCTGCGTTTTCTAAAAGCAAAGCAGGTGGCATGATGACGAGTGAACCGATGGACAAACAATGGCTAAACAAGCTAACTCTGCAAACATGGTGGGGGAGAGAGAGAGAGAGAGCGAGCGAGCGAGCGAGAGAGAGAGAGAGAGAGAGAGAGAGAGAGAGAGAAAGAGAGAGAGAGAGAGAGAGCGAGGGGAGGGAGGGAGGGAGGGAGGGAGGCACCCACTCCACTCCTCCGGACTCCCACTCGCCTGCTGATCCGTGTGCTTGGCATCGAGATGGGGCTCCGTCTGCCGCTCCGATCCAAAAGACGGACATGGCAACACAACATCCTGGAGGAAGCAAACTTGGAAGGCCGCCAGCCTTCAAATTCTTTACATGGAAATGCTCTCATTGATGCCTTTCTGGGGGGGAAGGGTGGGAGGATTACAAATTGCCAGCGCCAAAGGTGCCTAAGGTGAAGTGATGACAAATGCTGGTTGAGAAGGTCTTCAGGAAAATGAACTGTTGGCCCAAGAACCATTGAGAAGTGCTTTAGCCTGAGGCACTTGGCGGGGTCGTACTTCCTTTTGGTTCCCTGGACTCAGTACGCTCGCCTGCGTAGCGTTGCAGCTTTTGCAGAGGACAGCATGGCGTGTTTTGACCAAGGCCAACCACTCATGGGCTTCACCTGGTGCAACAGATGCTGAAGTGCGCGTTCATCTGTGAAGCAAGTGAAATCATCCGAGAGCAAACTTCTTCCGTCGTCGGTGAGGAGTTGAACAAGAGGACCAAAATGAGCAAGCCAACAACGCAAAAAACATCAATGTGCCACTTTGTACATCGCTGTGTGAAATCTTCACTTGTCATTTCCTTGAGCAACTAGTGGCTCGAGGTATAGGACTTCATAACAAGACTTTATAAGGTGACTACGCTGTGATTGTTTTGGTGGGCCTCGAACACTGAAAACATATAAACACTTGGCTCATCCAAACACCTTAGCTCCAGAACATTTCGCAGCCTCAGACCCCAAGAAAAAAGAGAGTTCGTCACTGTGAGCGTGCACCTTTTTAAGCATTTCAAGCAATCTTGCTGTGGAAAGTTTTCAGCTCATACCAAAGCCAAAACTTCTCATGTGGACGAGCATTTTTTCTTATTCATTTCTAAATAGTTATTGACTCAATTCTATTTTAATTCTATGAATTTTGACTTAAGTACAATTCAACGAAATTCTAAATCAATATTTATTCTAACTGAATTTATTTTATTTCTATGTTTATTGATAATAAAATTGGATCTCAATGAATTTTAAATTGAATTTGTTTTGAATATGTAATAGACTTCTATTTCAATTCTAAATTGAACCTAATTACATTCTAAATTAAGTTTATGTATTATTCTAAATTAAGTTTATGTCTTTTTAAAATTCATTATAATCAAATTAGAGGTCAATTTTATTCTAATTTAGTTTTGTTGTAATTGTAATTATCTTTGATTATTCTGGATCTAATATTAAAGGCCAAATTGAATTTATATGTGAATTTGCAATATATTTTTATTTCCAATCTAATTCTAAATTGAATGTATTTGAAATTCTATTTATTGGAATTCAAAGTGAATTTGCAATTTTTATTAAAGTGAATTATTCATAACATAATTGTATATCAATATTGCAATATTGTTATTAATTAATTCCTAGGTTAAATATCTGTAATTCAATTCTACCTTAGGTCTAGATCAATTTCAATTTGAATAATGGATTTTGGTTTAATATTATTCATTCAATTCTAATTTAATTCCAATCTATTTCTCATTTAATTCTATTTCATTTTGTTTTGCATTAAACATTGTAATTGTGTTTATTCCAATTTCCAATTGATTTGTTAATGATTTCTAATGTTAACGTCTTTATATAACTTAAATTCAATTGATCTATATATCTAATTTTCTAACTTGATTCCAATTCAGTGCAAATGGAATTCTAATTGAGTTTTGCTTCCATCCTAGAGAATGAACATTATTGGTGGTATGAATATATTTCATTAAAGAAAGAATATACTTCCATATTGGAAAAATTTCAGAAAAATCTTTTATGTTCAAAGCAAGATCAATTCCCTGGAAATAGATGTTTTATTGTATATTAAGATTTTGTCCATACATTGGTCAGCATATTTATCATATGGTTGAGTGTTTGTTAAATCACTGATTGGTGGAAGTTGATTACAGTCACCGGCTCCTATGATGAGTTTATTGTTTTATGTTTTTCAGTAGAGTTTAAAGACTTACTATAGATATATAGATTGGTCATATAGACTTCATCAAAAAAATATAACATCAAATTCAGGATGGTCAAACTCTGGTAGTTCATCCCCCTTATGAACTGGGATTCTAAAGAACATGTTATAGGTTGTTGAATCACCTTCTATTTCTTGACTTAACCTGTTATGAGGCACCACGAATAAAACATTTTTACACATCTTCTTAAAATACTGTCCTATATATGACTTGCCTGATCCCGCAAATTTTGCTCTGATCATACATGGGTTTAAATC